GCCTTCAGGCTGACCAACTACTGTCTAACCCTAGGACTATGAGCATATGATTGGATGTGCATGGTAATTACAAGTTGGTCCTATCCCTGTTAAAGACAATATGGTAATATAGGAGCCTATGGGGAGAAAGGAAAGAAAAGAATAGCTTCTCAACCTTTCTTACCAGCTAAAAGAAAAGTATATGGTCACCCTAAACCTTACTACCATCAGTTGTGGCCAGGGGTTGCAAACTTAAATGGCTACTGGGGCCAATGACATAAACAGGGAAGCAGGTAGTAATCAGATGCAATTTGTTCTTTCTAAATGGTGGTAAGTCCTTTTCCAAAGAGCTAAATGCTTATGTCCCATTTTCCCTTCCACGTCCAGTATCATAGTGACTGAAAAACTAAGTTTTGAGTAAGTTGATCAGTGGCAAGGAATCGAGTGGAGAGCCATGTGGGACGACTAAGGGGTGCATAAGGGAGAGGGAGTGATGGCTTCTTACTATCTCATTTCACCAGTGATGAAATGGCAAGGACATGCCCTGTCCAAAGGGAGCAGTTACTTGATTCCAACCAGTTGTCGCTGTGTGAGAATCAAAGGCCTACAGCACCCCTATGTTCCATTCTTTAGAGAGAAAAAAATGCCACAATTTTTGTGTGAAATTTCCCATTTCACAACATCACACAGAAGAAACAAAACCTATCTGAAAGCCTGATTTGGCCTAAAGGCTTCCACTCTGTACTTACCTAGATAGGAAAGAAAGAGGTCTTTAACAACTCCTGTGAGTCAAATTAAGTAAATACAGATATGAAGGAGAAAGAATGACCCCAGATCCAAGAAAACAGCAACATTTGATTAACCGAATGACTAAATGATATTAATAAGAAAGACCATGCAAAGAAGTGGGTGGGTAAGGTCTAAAGTAGGTTTAAGAAAGAAAAGAAATAAAAAAATGAGGTTTATTCAGCACCTTCCAAGGTCAGGGGAAGGGGAGGAAGTTTGATACGAGGGACACATACAGTCTGGTCGTGGGGAATTCATGCTTAGCAGTGAAGGACCATTCCACTGGCTCTTCCAGTGAGTAGAGGAAAACATCCTTCAAGAATTATCTGCCTCTCTTGCTCGATTCCTTGCCACTAATCAACTTACTCAAAACTCAGCTTTTCAGGCACTATGATACTGGATGTGGAAGGGAAAATGGGACATAAGCATTTAGCTTTTTGGAAAAGGACTTACCACCATTTAGAAAGAACAAATTGCATCTGATTTCTAGCTAAGCTTCATGTAACTAATTAACTGGGATCATATAGGTATGCTGGGAAAGTTTAATTCCTGGATTTGGAATTAGTGAATCAATCCAAGTGCTGATGTCTGTCATCAAGTGATACAGTGAACAGCAGACAGCAGCTCTAATGGACATTCCCATTCCCTCCTCTCAACAAACTAGGCTGTTGCTCTCAAGCCTTAAGACTGGGTCCCTGTAGTACAAATACAGCAGCAGTAACAACAAAAAAACAAACCTACAGGCCTTTGACAGGAAAGTACTTACATTAACAAAATCTCCACCCTGAATCATGAAATCCTTTATGACCCTGAAACAGACAACAAAGGAATCCTGAGAGACGATTTCATAGTTTAGAAAAACAGTGACTTAAGTCACTGTAGTTTAGATTAACACCAAATTAAAATGCAAAGTTTATCATATGGCTTTTAATAAATTTTCAAACCAACTGTTGAATTTGCAAAAACATTCCTTCTCAAAACCTATTTATTATCCTATGGTTTTATTTTCCTCCCAAGGAGACTAATCCCCCAAGGAAGTAATGCTAAAAGCCCCCGGGATGGATTGCCAAAGGCCTTACCTGTGGAAAGTGCTCCCTTTATATCCTATTGGGACCCCATCTTTTCTATAACCAAAAAGAAAGAGACTTGCAATGATGATAGGTAAGCATAGGCCTTTCCAGTTTCCCATACTCCAGCCACACTCCTAAAGACGGTTGGGAGAAGAGAGAAACAGGACAATTTTGGAGTATCACCTTCCCTGTCACCAGCAATCATTCAAGGCCCCAATACCCTAGTGCAGCCCCAGGGTACCCCTCAGGAGCAGGCAGATGAGTCAACCATGTCGGACACTGACCTGAATTCTCCAGTGCAGAACTGCCTGAAAGGAAAAACAGTGAACGATTCAGTCGCTATGCCGTCACAACTGTGAGTGCCCCTAATCTCCGGAAGGGAGGACACAGACTGGCGCCAGCAAGTCCACCAACCGGCCAGCCAGACATGCAGACACCCAGGTATACAGAGTAACTACATAAACTGACAAGAGAACATGAAAAACGGTGACTACTCAGACGGAGAGTTACCCAGAGGAATCAAATCTCATAGGCAGTGGGTGGACAGATAGAGGCCGGCAAATGATTCTGCAGACTGGGGATTAATTCTGATTCTAATTAATCCGGCAGAGCTGGAGCACCTCCTTACCTAAAATTCTCGGCCGTCTTCGGCACAACGTCTGCGAAGAGCTCAATCTTCATGCGGCCAACTTCCTGCGACCGGCGGAAGACGGTCAGAAGACCCAATCCAAAACTGTGAAGGCCCCACCGCGCAGGAACATTAAGGCCTGACCCTCCGTACCCCATGCCACTCTATCCCTCCCACCTCTGCCCGCAAAGCCTTTTTCATTCCGCCCAGTCCCTACACCTGCGGGACGCTAGAATGGTCAAGACCCCTCCTCCTCCTGCCCCGTCCCCGCCTCCTCTACCACCAGAACTCGGTAGGTTCTGGTCCAGTTTCACTTTCCGGCTTTCCGAGTACGCTACCCCCGTGCAGTTTCTCTTTGGCGAAGGCCTGGGTGCCTGCCCGGACCTCACCTGGCCCCCAATGCTGACATCAAAGAACACCATGGGATTAACAGGGCTTGAATTTGCCACCGCCATGGCTGCGACCCGGAAGCAGAAGTGACCCCCGCTCCCCGCTCTGCGGGTTTCGCCTCCGGCGCAGGCGCAGGAAGAGCTGACGCAGGCCAGGCCCCGCCTCCGGAAGCTCCTCCCGAGCCTCCCGCGGAGAGCTGCCTTCCGCGCGGAAACTGGGTGTTCTGTGGGAAGTCACGGCTTCTTTGGTCCACACGGTTGAGACGTCCGCCAGCCTTTAGCTCGCCGCACTCCTAGGACGCAGGGGGCGGTGGGAAGCAAGTGGAGTAGGTAGAACGGAGGAAGACCTTAGCATTTTTTTTGTCTAAGGTTAACGGGCTTCAGTCCCACTCTGTCTACCCTAATTGCAGTACAAATTATTCTGAGGCTAGGGCGTTTGGATTAAGCAGTCTCCAGGGTCCTCATCAGCCCTGAAGCCAAGTTCTGAGCCATCATACCTGCTGTTTCTTACCCCTGCCCTCTGGTCTGTGAGCCCCGTGATGGCAGGAACTCTGCTCACGCTCAACGCTTAGCACAACCTGGCGCATAAGGCTTGCTCAATAAATACTGAGCCCCTAAAGTCAGGACACTAGGATTTTAATTACAGTTCTGTCATAAACTTCCATTTTTGTCACCTCCAATTCATTTCCTGCAGTGAAGCTAGAGCTTTTAAAATAAATCTCTAAGTCATTCCTGGCTTCCCATATTTAGAATAAAATCAAATTTCTCACATACAAAGGCCTACATTACATTATCTAGTTGCCACCTACCTGGCCTCATCTTGTATCAGTGGCCAGCCCTCCATTACTGTACATTGGAGGTCACAGAGAAGAATACTGTCTTCAGGGCCTCGGCACCAGCTGTTACTTCTCATTAATACTCTTCTGCATCTGAATGGAGGCGGGGAATGCTTGTAGTTGAGGTCTTCAGCTCACATGTCTCTCAGATCTAAATAGCCCCCTGTCACTCAGATACATCACTAGTTCATTTTCTTCATGCCATTCACCACCCAAAATTATCATGTCTCCCCACTTCACCCCCTGCCACATATAAATACACCTTCCACCCCAGTAACATTACTCCATGAAAGCAGGGACTCCATGTCTGTTTTCATGGATGTAACCACTGTACCTACTACTGAATAGCACATAGTAGGGATTGATAAAGAAAGATTCAATGAACTGAGTGAGAGAAGGTGAACCTGGGCAAGGCTTAGAGTCAGAACACGTATTCAATGTCTTAGCTATTATTTCCTATATCCTTTGATCATCCTTTTTAGTCCAGTGGTCTGAGGAGCAAGGGTTACACATAAAAATTCAGTGTGTTTCAACTTAGGGGGACTTTTTTATTTCTGGTTATTTTCTCTCTCCCCCTCTGTCTCCAACTGAAGAAGGAAGAGGAGAATAAGGAGGGAAAGGGGGAGGAAGGGAAGAAGGAGCAGCCAGAACCACCCTTTAGTATAGTTTTGTATCAACTATGCTAGAATGAATTTTTTGAATTGATAATATACAGTGTTGACAATGTGGAAAAACTGGTACATTCAAACTGCTAGTGAAAAAAAATGATATCTACCATTTATTAAGTAAAGTGCTAAATACAAGCTTACTAATTTGGTCCTCACAATTAAATGAGATAGGAACTACTATTGTTCCCATTTTTTGTATCAAAAAATTGAGGCTTAAAGAGGTTGATTATAGAAACAGTATGTTGACAAAACCTATTTTTTTAAAGCATTGTGACAAGTGGTATAACAAAACTATGTAACATTATATCCCTTGACGCAATCATGCCAATCTTGTAAATTTGTTTTCTGGAGTAACTAAAGGGAAAAAAGAGCTACATTCACAAAGACTTTGCAGCATAACCTTACACTGTGAAAAAGTAGAAACATTTAAATTTCAAATGAGAATTTATAGAACATCAACATGATAGAATATCATGTGGCCACAGAAAGAGTAATTACAAAGACTGCTGAAATATGGGGAATGTCTTACAGTAGATTAAATTAAAATTCAGACTATAAAAATGAATATATAATATAACCATTTAAAATATGTATTTGAATAAAAGCCACAAAAGAATAAATGAAAACAGCAGTGTTAAGAGCATGAGATTATAAGAATTTTTTTCTTTTTAAAGTAATAACATGATTACATTGTTTTTACTTTAAAAAAATAAATAAGAAAATACCCATGGAAATAGGAAAAGAATGAATGCTGAACTAGCAATCTATATGCTCTGTTGAACAGAAGCCTAAGTAAACCCTGAACTAAGTCACTATATTAAACAATATAATGCATTTGAGGATATCACACAAACTTGAGGAATCCATTTTTAGAACTGGTTTAATGAATTTATCACCAATTTTGAAAACTCCTGGTTGATGTCCAATGGAGATCTGTGGTAATGCTCTTCCATGTCATGACCCACCTCCATGCCCAGGCCTTAAGTTGGCAGCTTTGATGAGTCTAATTTTAGACACCAGTGATTTTATAGTTCTGAATTTTGGTCTTGTTCTTAGATGCGATCTGTTTCTTTCAGAGAAGCCACGTTTATGTACCCAGCTTCGGAATTCTGTGAACACAACAGAGACTTGGAAGACCTGGGGTTTGCCGTTGCTTCTTCTGACTTATGTTCTTCCATCTCTTGAAGACTTCCAACTGACTCCACCAAACCTGTTCCCGCAAAACTAAGAAAAGTTACACGTGAGGACTTCATGTAGATTAGATCTCTTGGTAGCACTTAGGAGTCACAGGGATAAAGCATCAATAGGCTTTCAGTTTTTTACAACTGCCAAATGCCAAATAAAATTTACCATAAATTTATGTTTCTGGATTATTGTTTACCTTAAGTCAGGATTCCATCAGGGTTAGGGTGAAGCTGTGCAATGGGGAGAAGGACTTGGAAGAAGATCCAAATACTAAATATAGAGAAAATTACCCCCAAATGCTAAGCTTTCCCGAGCCAGTGACTCTGGACTAGTTAGGCAGCCATGACTCTTGGGCATGTAGATGATTGTCTTTACTTTACTAACCTGGAGTTTGCTATGGGCAAGATTTTATTCAATACTTCAAATTCAGGGATGTCAATAATTGTTTCCTAAAAGGACAGAAGGAATGAATATTAAAAAATTATAATGATAAACCATTGGCAATATGATCCTAGAACTTATGCTCTATCTATATTTTTGGCTAAAAACATAATCTCCTAACCTCATACCTGTTAGAATGGCCATCATCAACAAGATAAGAGAACAAATGCTGGCAAAAGTGTAGAGAAAAGGGAACCCTTGGACACTGTTGGTGTGAGTGTAAGTTGGTATAGTCATTGTGCAAAACAGTATGGGAGTTCCTCAAAAAATTAAAAGTAGAATTAACATACCATCCAGCAATTCGACTTCTGGGAATATATCCAGAGGAAATGAGAACATTGTCCTGATGGTATCTGTACCTCATGTTCACCTAGCTATTATTTACAATAGCTAAGACATGCAAGCAACCTAAGTGTCCACTGATAGATGAATAAAGAAATTGTGGTATCTGTATATACAATGGAATATTATTATTCAGCCAAAAAAGGAAATCCTGACATTTGCTACAACATGGATAGACCTTGAAGGTGTTATGCTAAGGGAAATAAGTCAGACACAAAGACAAATGCTGTATAATCTCATACATGTGGGGTCTTAAAATAAAAAAACACATAGTAAAAGAGATCAGATTTGTGGTTGCCAAAGGCAGGCAGTGGTGGGAGGTAGGGAAATTAGGTGAAGGTAGTCAAAAGGTACAAACTTCCACTTATAAGATAAATCAGTTTGGGGATGTAATGTACAATGTGATAACTAGTTAACAATACTGTACTGCATATTTGGAAGTAGCTGAGAGTAGATGTTAACAGTTCTCATCATAAGGAAAAAAGATGTGAGGTAATAGATGTTAACTAATCTTATTGTGATCACTTTGTAATATATACAAATATCAAATTATTATGTGGTACACTTAAAGTTATACAAAGTTATAATATGTCAATTACATCTGAACAAAACTGGAAAAAATGTAATCCCTAGTACCTATAGAAAATTTGGTAATTATTGAAAGAAGAGAGGGGATGCGAACTCAACAGTCCAAGCAGGTTTATTGCTGAACCTGAGAGGGCCCGCTCTGTCCTGGCCATCAGAACAAAGGGAAGAGGGTCTCTAACAGGTCAAGAGGCTGTTTATGGCCAGGGCTTTGGCGGCTCTTTGAGGGGAGGGGTCGGGGGAAAGGTGGGCTTGTGGCTTGCTGACGTGTCCTCTGGAGAATGCTTGTAGCCTAGGTAAGATGACACCTAGGTCTCTCTGTGACGGTGGGTGGGGCTTATTCGAAAGGTGGTACTTAGGTCCAGATTCTATCAATTATAAATGTCATGCTTTTTATATTAGTACTTTCACTACTAACCGGCTTTTTGTATCTACTTTTTTACATGAGTTACCTCATGTTAGCTGATATAATTATTCCATTCTATTTACTTAAGTAAGTTTTTACTTCTTACTCTACTAAACATTTTATCTCTTTAAATCATGAAAAAAAAAAGCATCTGTTTTTGAGGTCTATGACTTTTAAAACCAAACACCATTTCTCAGAAAAACAGACCAAAACAAACCAAATTTTGTATACAATTACAGGAGTTTACTGATTCCCCTGAACTTGAACCTCAGTTTAACCTTTGAAATAGACCAACCAGTTTTGTGTGAGAAATTCTTAGTTACTCTGAAAGAAATGAAAAGCTTATATAAGAAAGAAAAAAACAGTATTCAGAGAAAGCCTTAATGTTGGGAATTTTACTGGAATGGGTGTTAGGAGACAAGGCTGAAATTCTGGCACTGTCTGATGGTTAGACTCTGGCATGTCCCTTTAACTCTAAGTTTTGTCTGCTACATCTACAATGTAAGGATAACAATTAATGTCTAATCGCTCAAGGTTGTTCTGAAAATTAAATAATGTGAACATACCTACATACGAGAGGAAATGTTCAATGTAAGTGAATGTTTTTGCACTGACAGAAGGAGCTATCATTTATTGAGTGCCAACTATTTGCAGAGCAAGATACTAGGTATTTTATGTGTATTATTCTACTTTACCCCTAGCATAGTTCCTAGAATTGGTGTTTGTTGAATGAATGATTAAGTAAAAGAGTGAATGACTAGACAATTGAGAACAGCTCAGGCAAAAACATAAACTACTGGAAATTGGGCCACATTATCTGGCAGTTCTACTTTAGACAAATTATGTAAAGCAACTTATATAACTTGGAAATAATCCCCTTGCTGAGGGCAAACAAGAGGCAGAGCTTAGGCTCACAGCGATAGTACCTGACAGAAGGATCTATATGAAGTATCCTGGGAAGGAACATCTAGCAGGTGACACAAGCCAGGGAACACAGCAAGAAAGGAAGAAATCTTGGATTCAGAATGCAACTTTGCTCACTAAAGTGCCTCTTCAGACATGCTCACCAGCTAGACTCTGGACCCCGTCTGAACCTATACTATTTGCTGCATCTCTCTGGATTTGGCTACTTGTCTGCTTGGATTTTTATAACATAATTGCTTTCCTCTGACTCAGATGTTTTCACTGGGCTTAATTAACTCTTTACCAGCCCAGACTATCTTCATTTTACCTCTTTGAGCCTCAAATTTGCTCATTTTTCAGATGGGACTAGTATAATACACGGCAAACAGGGTTGTTGAGAATGAGGCATACATGTGGAAATATTTAACATTCATTCATTCTCAAATTTTATGGAGCACCTGTCCATAGATGCCATGACATAGGACAACCAATCCCTACCACCCAAGATCTCACAGCTGAGTTGATGAGATAGAGAAGCAAAAAGGCAATGACAATGTGACGTACTAAGGAAGAAGCTATGAGGCAAGCCCAAACTGCTTTGGGAGCACACAGGAGGAGAGAGTTCATAAAAGCTGGCCCAATGAAGAGCGATGCTGGCCAAGAGCAGTCTTAGGGGCTGCTGCCCTGGTGAGCAGCCAGTGAGCCTCTTTGCCACGATTCACCATGAGGCCATGTGCAGGCTGAAGCTGTATGAAGATGAAGGGAAGGGAGAACACAGCAACCTCAGCAACCCATACTTCCATTTAAGGACCCGACAGGAAGCACACATCTTACCTCTCCTCTGCGAATCTGGATGTTCCTTATAACATGCTCTAAGAGGCCAACCTGCTGTGTCAATCGGAGACTATTTTCCTGTAATTGCTTGTTTTCTTTATCCAGAAAAAATACTCTAAGAAGGGAATAAATCAGAAGCAAAACTAAAAATCTCTGTATCATTACTAAAATTTCAAAACTGTATCCCACTTCCCACTAGCTCTGGGTTTAGCCCACTATCTAGATTTGAGAGCCAACTTTCACAGATTAATTCCCACCATATTCCAAGACCAAATAAAAATTAATAGGCTTCTGGCCTGTACATAGTCATTAAATACATACTGAGCACAGAGGTGTACTATATGCAAGAGCATGAAAGGCACAATTTCAGCCCTTGAGAAACTTGAGGAAGGATACGATCCTATTTTGGTGGGACTGAAACAGACTCTGCACCCTTCAGCTCTTGCAGTCGCACAGCCTGCATCTGGTCTGGGCTCATACCCTCATCCCATACTTTTGTAATATCAGCAGCAGCCATTTACCAAGTACTCACCATATACTTAGGCAGTGAAACCTGGCCACACAGCCAGCCCTCAACACTTTTCATGTATTAGCTTGTTTAATCCTCACAACCCCATGAAATAGATACTACTATGAAGCCTATTTTACGATGAGGAAACTAACTCACAGAGAGGGCAAAGTAACTTAAGGACATAAAACCAGAAAGCTGTAGAGCTGAGATACCAACCCAGATCTTTCAGACTTCTAAACTGAGCTCTCACCCACTATCCAAGACCATGGTTTATTTGGGACACATGACAGTACAATAGTTTTGATCAGACATTTGTGTTTGAATTCTGGCTCTGTCACTCACTGGCTGTGAGTCCCTTGGCAAATTACTAAATCTGAGATACAGTTTCCTCATCTGTATAAGGAAACACCCTATAGAAGAAACTTACTCTAAGGACACATTCAAGTCCAATTCAGGTGGCCAGGGGAGGGCAAGATGGGAACACTATTAAGGGTAGTGAGTCAGTTGTGTTGGGACTGTCAGAAGCAATGGCATAGTTTGAGAAGAGCAATGGTTTATATAGAATATATAAAAAGGGAGACACAGACAGTAAAAGATAACCAGAAACTCTCCAGGCCTATCTGGAAGAGCATGCTCCAAAGCAGCAGGAAGGGAAGTCCCAGTCTGCTGGACAGATCTCCCCCCAGACTGTGGTGCTGTGAGGTCTAGGGCCAGGCTGCTGCCATTCACATGCTGCAGCTGCTGACATGGCTGCCTGCTTAAGCTCCTTAACCTCTCTGGGCCTTAGCTTTCGGATCTGTATGAGGATTACATGAATGTATATAGAGAGAGCAGAGAACAGTACCTAACATACAGGAAATGCCCCCCAAAGTGTTAATCATTGTAGTTATTGATGACTCTATCTGTTCAGATCAACCCACTCTCTTTGCTCTAATTCTGTGCTCCAAGAAAACTTCTGATTGTAATTAAAGTCTCCTATAGAGGAAGGAGTGCTTGGGCTGGCTGACATGTAAATTCTTCTCTGCTAGGAATATTTCTCATTACAAATCAATACATTAACATCCTATGGATTTCATGAATTTAGTATGACCTGTTCTATTCTTGGTCCACCTTGATTCCATAGGTATCAAATGAAAAAAATGAGTGTCAACACACAAAGTAACAGGCCCAAAGGAGCACAGCCAGGTCCTCGGTGAGGCAAAGCCTATGTGGAAAATCATATCTGAATGGCTGGCCAGCCTCCTCCGTGATATTTTTCTCTTTAGTTTCACCACTTTTGCCACTTGCATGAATTGCTGAAAACAGCAGACAGCAAAGCAACAGTTATGAGCTAGGTTGCAAACTCAAAGGATAGTCTGTGGAACAATCTCTCTGTTGAGGGAGAAACATCCTCTTTAGGGAGTGCGTTGACTTCTCAGACAGGCCCCTACCTACCTGCTCTGGACTGACGATATTATCCATTTGTTGCTGTGGATGAATTCTTCTTGCTCTGTGAGTTGCCCCAGAAGTTTCCTTTTCTCTAGGAGCAGTGTATCATTTTGGGCAGTGACCTGGTCCTGGAATGCCTTCCCCTTGCGATAACAAGGCCCCCGCATTATCACAGCAGGAGAAAGAATAATAAAATTAAGATCATCAGCCTGTTTTTCAACTTTGACAGCAAATTACCCCTGTTTAGGTTCTCTCTCCTGTCCTCTAGTCTGTTTTCATCTGTTTGAGGTGAAATAGATAGTTCTTCTATTTATTTTGGTTATTTTATGTCATGTATTTTGTTTGGACATTTCATCATGCTTGTGGGTTAACTTTTAAACATATCTGAGTGCTCAACTTCCAATTAGGTCCTAAAGCTCTCACTTATATTCTAATTCCATAGGTATCAAATCACTAAAAAATACAACTGAATTCTCTGAGTCTCCAGATTGAAAATTTTCCCATATAAAACATTTGCATCTGCTTTGTAGTGGCAGTCTTTTTAAGGCAAAGGGAGGAAGATGGAAATTAGGCCACCTCATTTGGCAACCAGTGTCAGGATCCCAGCTACTGAGAATATGCTTTAAAGATTTCTAGCTTGACACTGTTTCCTTTTCTACCAACACTTTTCTCTGAAAGCACCAGCTAGGGGAGTTACAGCTAAAATAAGGAAGTGAATTTTATGAAAAACACTACCTTTCTTACATTGAAAGAATCAATAGATATGAGTAAACATCACCACTGTCCTGAGTTTAGAAGTTCAAACATGTAGAACTGCCCTTATCACTTCACCAATGACCTGCCAATGATAAGTGCCTTCACCCTTTTCCTGTTTGCCCCTGGTCTGCCAGTGCTGGGAAGGAGTGGGGATGGGAGAAGAATAACAACCTTCTGGCAGATGGGCAAACAACAAGGTTAAGAGGAGCAACTTTCTTTCTTTCTTTTAAATAAGGTACTAATATAGATCATTCAGAAAAGACTGTCCATCTATTACTAAAGACTTATAAGGAAGGATATTATGTTATGTTCTGAAACAAACCACCCCAGATTTTAAAGTCCTGCATCCAGGACCATTCAATGCCTAATAACAGTCTTGTCATCTATGTTTTAAATACATTTATGTAAGGTTTGAGGCTAGAAGCAGTCATTCCACAAATAATACTACATGCAGTTATAACTGAATTAGAAAGGAAATTGGTTGGGGCAGGTTTACTGACACCCCGTTCTTTGGAAATGCCACGTATTTTTTGAACAAAAAAATCAGGATACGTTTTCTAATAATAAAATTTAAATGTTTGGAGAAATCTGGTGTGGATGGTTGCAACAGTCAGAGGACTCAATTGGCTCACTGTACAGAGAGAAGCCCAAAGGAATGAAACCCCCCTGCACTCCCATCCCACAAAATGGAATTATTTTCTGCAAACTTGGTGCTTTGAAATGAGCCTAGCTTTTTTATGCTCAGGGCTCTGGTCCATGGGCCCCAAAATAACTAAAACCAAGACCTCAGGTTTGTACCACTGTGGCATTAAAAGATCCCACTTCAGTCTTCGCTAAGCTAAGTATTTCCAATTCCATTAACAATCTCTCTTGTGAACTATGCACCCACTGATTAACATGCTTCTGAGGGATTTTACACGGAATAGAAGAAGTCTGTGAAAAGTTGTATGTGCAGGAAACACTTTAGCCAGTTCATATTTTAATGCTCACAAAAGCCTTGTGAGGAAAGGTTATTTCCCCCATTTTACAGATGAGGAAAACACAGGGATGTGTGCAAGGCGGCAGAACCACTAAGGGAGGGCTAGGCTTTGCATCCACCTCTAAGGCCAAAGGCAACAGGACCCTTCAATGGCAGTGAGCATAACATCAGTTATCCTTCCTTAGCCTCTGCTTATTTGCAATTTCTTTGTATTTCATGGATCTCTGTATATTTCGTGGAGATCTGTGGTTCTTCCTGTCAATGTATGAATTTCTCAGGGCTGCCATAACAAATCAACAGGAATTAATTTTCTCACAGTTCTGGAGGCTAGAAGTAAAAAATTAAGGTGTTGTTGGCAGAGTTAGTTCCTTTTGGGGTTCTGAGGGAGAATTTGTTCCATGCCTGCCTCTTAGCTTCTTGTGGCTGCCAGCCATCCTTGGTGTGGCTTGGTGAGTGGCTGCCTCCATTGTCACGTGGCCTTCTTCCCCTGGGTGTGCCTGTGAGTATATCTTCTCTTCTTATAAGGACACCAGTCATAACAGATTTACGGTTTACTCTGACCCAGTATGACCTCACCTTAATGAACTACACCTGCAAAGACCTAATTTCCAAATTAGGTCCCATTCTGAGGTTCTGGGTACACATGAATTTGTAGGGGGCACTATTAAACCCAGTACAGTCAGGAAGAAATAAAACATAACTTCTGAAAAGAGGAGACTGTTTTTGCCAAGTAAGCCTAGAAATGGAAGGCAGACAGTACAAGAAAGAATTGGTCATGCAGAAGTAGGCTGATGACACTTTCGGTGGGCCCGTGAACTAGGACTGTTACTTTCTTCCATATAATTTCCAATGTTCTCCTAGCTGTGAGTCTCACTGAGACCTGAGTCTTTAAAAGTTTGACTAATTAGTACCAATATAAAAGGATACTACAAAATTCAACTTGTTTTCCTCACTCACTACAGTTGGGTGCATCAAGAGTATTTTTAAAAACTAAAAATACAATATTGGTGACCCAGCTGTTATAATCCTCAAATGTCTTATTGTGTGTAGCCTAGGGATTCTTAACCTGGAGACATGATAGCCCATGGAATGACCAAAATTATATGAATTGTTTTGGGATCCTGGGCACATAGTGGTGGTATACTATAAAATTTTGTTGGGTGTACAATGAGTATTTTAGGAGGAAAGAGTTTTCAAAATTCTGAAATGGGCTAGGAATCTCAAGGAGGGAAAATATTGCTGGCTTAGTCAGTTGCTTTCCATTTTGAATTCAGGTAGTTTGATGACCTCAAGAGCATTCTGCATTTCTTCCCATTCATCTATCCCATTTCCTCCTTACCCACACACTGGTAAGTCGCAAGGGCAAGAAGACAACCATAAAGAAACCATGGACATTTAGAGAAGAGCTTGAAGACATCAGTCAAGGATTGATAAAGGAATAGGGATAACCTATTTAAAAATGTGGTTGAGAAATCTCTGCTGAAGGGTGTTTTAAAAAATGTTTTCGCTTGCAGGCAAGGCAATGACTGTAAGTTGGCAGTACAGAATATTTTCAGTGTCTGGTTGGTTTATTAT